ACTAGTGTATAGTATCATAATTCATAGTTCATGGTAACTCTATACCAATAACAACATTAATAATAAACATAGTTTGAAACTAACAGTAACTATTCAAATAGCAATGTTACTAATAATAAACATAGTTTGATACTATCAGTGATAATTCTATAGAGATAGGGAAATTAGTACATGATGACAGCTCAGCTTTTACAACTCAACTAATTAACAAATGAATCAGCAAGTATCAGCAAAAATAATAATAAACAGAACAAAATGAAATACTATAGACAATCATCCTCTAACTAATTATTGACAATATTTATCTCTAATGTAACTAGCAATAGATTTCTCTGCTATTGTATCCAGTGCTGTAGCTAATGATGACCAACTGGGACCTCCTTTCTCTCTTACTTTATCTTCTCCTCTTAACCAGGCAGACATACACTGTATCAGACATGGCTTGCATTGTCCATGATCCATCTTTATAGCATTTAGTGTTGGATCATATAATCCTAAATGAAGTCCAAACTGATACCATTTAGTACAATCCAATTGATTGAGTATTGTTAGCTCTTCAATGACAATATCAAGATCTTTAATATCTATAAAAATAATAATTAATAATGTGTATATACACTGTACAGTCTACACTCCCACTACTTGACAATTGTGATAGTACATATTATAACATACCTAGCTTTATTGGAGTCAATGGTGTCTTGAATTCTTCAGTTATTTCAATCACTTCCTATACAATAATAATAATAATAATAACTGATATTTGTCATTGTGCTTGTTTATCAAGGTGATATACATCAGTAGTGTATTGCTGAAAGGTGAGTTTAACAGATGTACAAGTATATATTATTAGTAGTAAAAGCCACACAATGACAACCCACAATTATGACAAAGACTGAGTAATGTGATAAGATTATGACCTTTCGATTATTAGTGCTTGTATTAATGTATCAAACAGTTTGTGTGTGTTAATTCTTACCTTAATATCACGTCTTCCTAATAGTGACAGCTTACTAATATCTGATAATGGTTCATCAGGTAGGATCTCCTTCAATCTTGTACTTGTTCCATTATCCCGAACTATGCACTTTTCTCCTTTGTCAATAGCAGACAGTATATCTTTTACACTATACACTGTCCTTTCTCTTAGTGTATTCACAGGATAGGCTAGTTCTTTAGGATCAATAACTAACTCTTTTACTTCTAGATTGGGACAGGATTCTTCATAAACACTCATTACCTCTCCCATCACATCTCTTCCTACTGACATCATAATATCTTCTTTAAAGGACATCATTACTAGTACACACTGGCTCTCATCCACAATCTCTACCAAAGATCCTACACCATTACTATTAGACCAATAAAGTCCATTCTTCCAAAATGCACAACGTCGCATTAACTGGTTGTCTTTTTGAGGTTTAGCCATTTTGTAAGCAAGACGTAATGAGAGGACGTGGAAGTATCGAGGAGGAAAGAAATGTTGTTTACTAGTACACTGTAGACACCAACCAAACTGGTACACTTCACTACTCATCTCATCAGGTTTATCAGTAGACAAAAGACACGGAAAGTGCAACAATCTTTCTCCTCTTCTTTCTCTCCCTCCCTCCTCCT